AAGATGATATTTCAATAAGAAAACTGGCGCTTGGGACATGCTTCCACTAAATTTGAGACATCTTAGACAGAACAAAGTTTTATTTTTGAGGCATTATTTTTATGGGATTGAAGTCTTGGAACTATTTGATCTAGTTACTCTATGTTCTCAACTGTGTTAACTCATTGAAAACAACATTGTTATTAAAGGTATTCACAAGAAAAATTCAGAGATACTGTTGCATCTCCTTTCTCTGTTTCAAACTGTTTTCTCGTAAGCACCCAAGGCTCTGTGATGTCTCAAACATTTAATCATGAATTTTAAAAGAGAAGCTTATTATGGAATTAGAAAAAAACTATTTTAAAATTCATATGGATCCAATAAGAGCTCATATAGCCAAAAGAATATTAAGCAAAAAGAACAAAGCTGGAGGCATCATACTATGCCACTTAAAACTATACTATAAGGCTACAGTAAACAGAACAGCATGATACTGGTACAAAAACAGGCACATAGACCAATGGAACAGAATAGAGAACTCACAAAAAAAGACTGCACATCTACAACCATCTGATCTTCAACAAACCTGACAAAACAAGCAATGGGGAAAGGATTCCCTATTTAGTAAATGGTGATGGGAGAACTGGCTAACCATATGCAGAAAATTGAAACTGGACCCCGTCCTTACACCTTACACAAAAATTAACTCAATATAGATTAAAGACTTAAATGTAAAACGCAAAACTATAAAAAACCCTGAAAGAAAATCTAGGCAATACCATTCAGGACACAGGCATGGGCAAAGATTTTATGAAGAAATCGCCAAAAGCATCTGGCACAAAAGCAAAAATGGGCAAGTGGGATCTAATTAAACAAAAGAGCTTCTGCACAGAAAAAGAAACTGTCATCAGAGCAAACAGACACCCTACAGAATGGGAGAAAATTTTTGCAATCTATCTATCTTACAAAGTTCTAATATTCAGAATCTACAAAGAACTCAAGCAAATTTGCATGAAAAAAACTTCATTCAAAAGTGGACAAAGGAGATGAAGAGACATTTCACAAAATAAGACATACATGTGGCCAAAAAAATATGAAAAAAACTCAACATCACTGATTACAGAAATGCAAATCAAAACCACAAATGAGATACTATCTAATGCCAGTCAGAATGGCAATTATTTAAAAGTAAATAAACACCAGATGTGGCGAGGTTGTGGAGGAATAGGAAGGCTTTTACACTGTTAGTGGAAATGTAAATTGGTTTAACCATTGTGGAAGACAATTTGGTGATTCCTCAAAGATTTAGAACCAGAAACACCATTTCACCCAGCAATCCCATTACAGGGTATATAACCAAAGGAGAATAAACCATTCTATTATAAAGATACATGCATGTGTATGTTCATTGCAGCACTATTCACAATAGCAAAGACATGAAATCAACCCAAATGCCCATCAATGATGGACTGCATAAAGAAAATATGGTACGTATATACCATGGAATATTATGCAGTCATGAAAAGGAATTAGATTAAGTCCTTTGCAGGGGTATGGATGAAGCCAAAATCCATTATCCTCAGCCAACTAACACAGGAACAGAAAGCCAAACACCACATGTTCTCACTTATAACTGGGAGCTGAGCAATGAGAACACATGGACACAGGGAGAGGAACATCACACACTGGGGCCTGCTGGGGGAGGGCAGTGGTAGGAGGAGCATTAGGAAAAATAGCTAATGCATGCCAGGATTAATACATACGTAATGGGTTGATAGGTGCAGCAAACCACCATAGCACACATTTAGCTATGTAACAAGCCTGCACATCCTGCACGTGTACCCTGGAACTTAAATTAAATTAAATTAAATTAAATTAAATTAAATTAAATTAAAAGACAAGCTAAAGGCGTTAATGAAAATAATTAGATAAAAAAAAACTTTGATTTTCAAAATTCTGAAACAAGTGTTTTAATTTTGCTTTAAACATATATTCAAATCCTTTAATACTGTTCCCTTCCAGAGGTGCTGCTTAATTTCCTCTCTTGAGTGTGGCTTGGACTTAATGATGCACTTCTGATATGGTCTGGCTCTGTGTTCCCACCCAATTCTCATCTTGAATTGTCATGCAAATTGTAATCCCTGTGCATTGGGGGAGGGGCCTCATGGGAGATGATTGGATCATGGGTATGGTACCTCCATGCTGTTCTTATGATACTGAGAGAATTCTCATGAGATCTGATGGTTTCATGAAGGGCTTTTCCCCATTTCGATCTGCATTCCTCTCTCCTGCCACCACATGAAGAAGGACGTGTTTGCTTCCACTTCTGCCATGGTTGTAAGTTTCATGGGGCAGCCTCCTCAGCCTTGCAGAACTGTGAGTCAATTAAACCTCTTTCCTTTATAAATTACCCAGTCTCAGGTATTTCTTTATAGCAGTGTGAGAACGAACAAATACAACCTCAAACTGATGGAGTAATGCTGACATAATAGTTTGTGACTCTGGGTGTAGAACATAAAACTCACTGCAGGCTCCCCCTTCTCTCTCAAGGTCTCTGGGATCATGAGCTCTGGGGGAAGCCACCTGCTGTGCAATAAGCAGCCCTGAGGCCTGAGTCAAGGTCCATGTGGCTGAGAACTGAGGCCTTCTGGGAACAGACAGCAAGGAACTAGGCCTTTTCCACAGCCATGTGACTGATTCATGTTTCATGTGAATCCTCAGCCCCAGTGAAGCCCTCAGATGATGCAGGCCTAGGCTGACAACTGGACTGCAACCTTGTGAGAGGCCCCGAGCCAGAAGCGCTCAGGGAAACCTCTCCTGGATCCCTGACCATCAGAAACTGTGGGAGATGATGAATATTTGCTGTTTTGAGCTGCTAAGTTTTACATAATTTGTTATGCAATAGTAAATAACTAACACATTTCACAAAAGAGAATCTATTATTACATATTAGTTTGCATTTGCTCTAAATTTATCATTATTATTTTTTTTTTTTTTTTGAACAGAGTCTCGCTCTGTCACCAGCTGAGTGCGTGCCGATCTCAGCTCACTGCAGCTCGCTCCAGGTTTACCATTCTCCTGCTACCTCCGGTATGACTACAGTGCACCTCGCCAGTAGTTTTTTATTTTTTTAGTGGGGTTTCATTACAGATGTTCGATTCACTCTGATCACCTCCGCTCCAAAGTGCTGGATACGCTTGCCCATCCGTCATTATTATATTATTGTTATTTATACAGGGTCTCACTCTGTCACCCAGGCCGGAGTGCAGTGGCATGATCACCATGCACTGCTGTGTCGACCTCCTGGGCTCAAGGGACCCTCTGATCTCAGTATCCTGAGTAACTGGGACTACAGGCATGAAGCCCACGCCTGGCTAATTTTCTAAATTTTTTTGTAGGGATGGGGGTTTCTCCATGTTGCCCAGGCTGATCTTCAACTTCTGGAGTCAACAAATTTGCCTTCCTCTGCCTTCCACGGTGCTAGAATCACAGGCGTGAGCCACCACACCTGGCCTAAATTAATTATAAGACATTAAACATGTAACTTAGTTTTAAAAGGTAAGAAGAATGTCCATGGGTGAAGAGGATGCATTTTATTACCATTCACAATGATCACTTTACTTGAACTTCAATTTCCAACTGTGTCCCAATTAAACACGAAAGGAAGATCCAATCCTTGCTGGGCTGAACTATGATGGCCCCCAACAACCAGCTCCTGGTCATTCACCTTCCTCCAGTTATTCAACCAACTCTAATGTAGGTGCTGCTATGAAGGGATTTAGCAGATATAATTAAGGGCCTCAATTAGTTGACTTTAGACTGGGTTTCTCCTGCTTGGACTGTCCTAATCAGGTGAGTCCTTGAAAGGACTGGGTTCTTCCTGAGCTTATAGAAATACAGTGTGAGAGGAATTCAGCGTGAGGGGTTTCCTCCACCGTGGGCTTTGAAAATGAAGAGGCTGTGTAAGAAAGAACGCTGTTGGGCACCAGGAATTGAGCACAGCCCTCCCTGTTCTCTATATTGACAGCCAGCAAGGAACAGGAACCTCAGTCTTACAACTGCCAGAAACTTCATTCTGCCACCTCTGTATAAGCCTGAAGGAGGATTCAAAATGAAAACACAGCTTTTGGAAGCCCAGAACAGAGATTCTCTCCACATTTTGCCCAGATTTCTGACCAAGGACCTATAAGCAGATAAATGGGTGTTGTTTTGCTGGTTGTGGTAGTGCATGAATGAACTGATGAATTGATATGCACACTAGTTACATAAAATAAAATCTTTCTGAACTTTTTCAGTATTTTACATTTTATAATTTTCTGTGATGCAATTTAATACACTCATATTTTATTCATTCAGTCAACAAAAATTAATTTAATCCCTATGATGAACCAGGTGTACCCTCATATGCTCACGTGCCTGACATTCCAGAAGCTTCACAAGACCAAGGTGGAGCCACTGGAATGTTTTAGGTGGAGAAATGGCACACTGTGACTCACAGGAGCAGGACCACTGTGGAGAGAACAGTCACGCAGCAGGTCATGGGACAGTGCTAGAGCCACAATTCGGGAGTGACAGGGTGGTGGGGACTAAGGGGAGAGGAGGGCCTGAGGGATGAGAGGGATGGAGGGAAGGGCTGGAGAAGCAGGAGGTGAGGAAATGGAGCAGGGGGACTGAATTTGAAAGCAGCAGAATTCTTAGGTTTAAACACTTGTTTAATAGATTTTTAATACATCCATCTACAGAGCCTCACTGGGTGTTCTTTGCAGTTGACCTTTAATACCTTATGTGGGTCTGTCCGAAAACTAATTGTTTTTACGTTAATCAGATTTAAAAAATACTAAGTGTTCCTATAAAATATACACAACACTTAGATGTGGATACTTCCTAAAAACAGGCAGTGCATGAGCACTAGTGAGGGGCACTGTGACTGCATTGAGTGCTTGCCACTGTGAGGTGAATAAAGTCTGTACTGGCTCCTGGTTGCAACATAAAATAACACAGTGGCTATCTTGTATTAGGAGATGTCCTGGACTCACAAAGAAACACAGGGCTATGGAATGAAGGTAAATATAAAATACTACAAGCGGGAGTCACAGATACATTGTCTGTGAAAGTGAAACTTAGGAGCTTTGTGAGTCCTGTTGTACGCTTTTAGACACATTTATATGTCAAGGGACCAAAGTCACATTTTCTACCGATTAGATCCTGATCATTCAGGGATTACCAAGATTCTGCTACCCACTGTAGTTAATAAACAAAAAGCAAACTGGTCTCTGTTCTATCTCATGTACTCAGGCGCAACTTCTCCAGATTTAAAGAAAAAGAAAAAAGAAAAGGAAAAAAAAGCCCTGTCTCTACACCTCCATTCCCAGGGCAAGCTCACTCTCCGGCACCAAGCTCTCTGGGGTGATTTTTCTTCTAGAAGAGTCCACTGGGACAGGTAAGGAGTAGGAGGCAGGGAGTCCAGTTCTGGGACGGGGAGTCCGTGATGAAAAGTGAAGAGAGAGGGACGGGGCCCATGCCATGTGTTTCTCCCTAGTTTCTCAGACAGCTCCTGGGCCAAGACTCAGGGAAACATTGAGACAGAGCGCTTGGCACAGGAGTAGCGGGGTCAGGGCGAAGTCCCAGAGCCCCAGGCATGGCTCTCAGAATCTCAGGCTCAGAAAGCGTGTGGGGACTGAGGAGGCCCAGCGTTGGGGATTCCCCATCTCCGAAGGGTTTCTCTCCTCCTTCTCTCAACCTGCGTCTGGTCCTTCTTCCTGGATACTCACCGGGCGGCCCCAGTTGTCACTCCATTGAGTGTCGGGTTCTAGAGAAGTAATCTAGAGTTCCCGGTTCTAAAGTTCCCACGCACCCACCAGGACTCCGATTCTCCCCAGTCGCCAAGGATGGGGTCATGGCGCCCCGGACCCTCCTTCCGCTGCTCTGGGGAGCCCTGGTCCTGACCCAGACCTGTGCCGGTGAGTGCGGGGTCGGGAGGGAAACAGCTTCTGTGGGGAGTAGCTAGGGGTCTGCCCGGTGGGGGCGCAGGAACCCGGTTGCGGTGCCGGGAGGAGGGTCGGGAGGGTCTCAGCGCCCCCCTCGTCCACAGGCTTCCACTCCTTGAGGTATTTCCACACCGCCACGTCCCGGCCCGGCCGCGGGGTGCCCCCGCTTCATCTCCGTGGGCTAAGTGGACGACACGCAGTTCGTGCGGTTGGACAGCGACGCCGCGAGTCCTAGGATGGAGCCGCGGGAGCCGTGGATGGAGCAGGAGGGGCCGGAATATTGGGAGAAGACAGGGACCGCCAAGACCAACGCACAGTTTACCGAATGAACCTGCGGACCCTGAGCGGCTACTAGAACCAGAGCGAGGCCTGTGAGTGACAACGGCGGGGGCGCAGGGCACTACCCCTCCACATCCCCCACGGACAGTCCGGGTCTCCCCGAGTCTTCGGGTCCGAGATCCACCCCGAGGCCGCGGGACCCGGAGACCCTTGACCTGGGAGCAGCCTAGGAGCCGTTACCCGGTTTCATTTTCAGTTTAGGCCAAAATCCCCGCAGGTTGGTCGGGGCGGGGACGGGGCTTGGTGGGCGGGGCTGACCGCGGGCGCAGGGCCAGGGTCTCACACCATCTAGAGGATGCCTGGCTGCGACAAGGGGTCCGACGGGCGCCTCCTCCGGGAGTATCACCAGCTCGCCTACGACGGCAGGGATTACATCGCCCTGAACCAGGACCCGTGATCCTTGACCGCCGCAGACACGGCGGCTCAGATCACCCAGCTCAAGTGGGAAGCTGCCGGCGAGGCGGAGGTTCATCCTCACAGGGGTAGGTACCTATTCGATGTGGTGTGTTTTTCCTCTCTACTCTCAGACCCTCAGCCAGTATCACTATTGGCATTCCTGATCCACTGGCTCAGAATTTCAGTGCATTATCTGCCCGCGGGACACACCTCAGAGGGAAAGGGATGAAGCGTGGGCCATGACCAAGGCATCCCCTGGTCATATCACCACCTGCACCTCCCAGGGGCTGCCAGCCACACCGAGTCATGGACAGGTCTCCACAGACACAACTTAGTACCAGCTTGGATGAAACCCTCTGAGGAACGGGGGCCAGCTTTCAGGATGTGCTGCGCGTATTAAATCAAAGACGTCTCTATGGTGCTGTGTTTACAGAAGGAAGAACACGTGGGTCCAAAAACCATGAAATTGAAACAGGTATGGCTCCATGTCTCATCCCTTCTACTCACCCTCAGGGTGATTTTGCACTTCTCATCTCCAATATCGGGGCTCTGCAGGGGAGGAGGTCCTGGTTTCCCAAAGGGGGCACCCTGGCAAGGAGACAAATGAGAGTCCATGGACCTACATCTTATGGTTGCCCCCAGGGATGTTTGAATAGTATGTGTCCAGACACAAGCAGGTGAGAAGAGGAGGAGGCAGGGCTGCTATCACACAAGGAAGGCAGAAGTGTGTGTGGAAATAAGAGATCCACGTGGAGGCCTTATGCTTCCCCTTGTCCTGTGGTAAGTTTGAGCAGAATCATCCAGCAACCGCAGCCTGAGAGGGTTTGATACTCAAGAGCCCAGAACCCTCAGGAAGGAAGGACTGAGTGATACACCTAGATAATGTCCCAAGGCTCCGCTCCTGTGCTCTGACATCCTCAGAAGGGTTAGTGCAGAAGCCCTGCTTCCCATGGGCTGTTCCCAGCCAGTGACCGGTCACAGCAGGCGCACTAAGGCAGGCCATTACTGGGAGACACGGGACTCCTCTGATGGCCAACTGTGGCTGGAGGACTCCTCCATGGCCTTGCTCAACCCTCCTTAGATTGCCTGTGCTCTAGGATGTGTCGAACAAACCTCCTCTCCTTCTGTCCAGCACTTGGTGTCACACTCGCATTGTGGTCTGCTGCCTTTTCCTGGGATTTCTGGCTCGCTTCCATATTCCCTTACAGGTGTGTCCCCTCATAAAATGCCCAGACTTGAAGCTCATCTTGGCATCTGCTCCTTGAAGACTTGGACTAAAAATTATTTCCATCTGCACATCAATAACTCTTACTTATTCAACTTGTAAAATCCTTCTCTTCGTCCAACTTCTGCCACCCCCATAGAATCTATTTTACTTGTGTTTGTAGTATCTCTTTGAGTTAACGGATATTGTTCTATTAAGCTATAAATTTTGAGGTAGTTTGTGACACAGCACTTGATAACCATTAAGGCTTCCTTTTTTTTTTTTTTTTTCTTGAGATGGAGTCTCACTCTGTCGCCCAGGCTGGAGTTCAGTGGTCAATCTCGCTCACTGCAAGCTCCGCCTCCCGGGTTCACGCCATTCTCCTGCCTCCGAGTAGCTGGACTACAGGCGCCTGCCACTACGCCGGCTAATTTTTTGTATTTTTAGTAGAGACAGGGTTTCACCATGTTAGCCAGGATGGTCTCGATCTCCTGACCTCGTGATCTGCCCTCTCGGCCTCCCAAAGTGCTGGGATTACAGGCGTGAGCCATGCGCCTGGCCAAGGCTTTCTTAAGTTTCCATTATTCCGTGGATATTATCTACACATCTTTTAATACCTTGCATTTTAATAACATTAGCCATATTTGCCGATTCCAACCCTTTCCTCCTATTCTTTTTTGAACATTTTTATTTTGTCTTTCTCTGTCCTTCCTTCCTTCTTTCCTCCTTTCCTCCCTCAGAGCTTTCTCCCTCCATTTTTTTCATAAAACCTAAGTGTTTAGGCTAAAAGGAAGCATCACTTGAACCTAATGCTAAAAGTATAATGCCATAATTTATAATATAAAAGTAAAGAAAAGGAAGTTATTAATTGAATATGAAGAAAACGTCTAGGGTGATTCTGCAGCCAAGACAGTGACTTTTAATATTTATTCTCCTACTTCAATTGAATGTTTTCAGGACACGCGAGCAACATGAGCTCTTTCCCATTCTTGGTACAAGCACTTGAGAAATCAAATTAGCCTTTTCTAGTCTGATTAATGTCCATACACCATATAATCCCACTGTCTGCCTCCTGATCATACACTCTGGGGACATTCTTGGCTATGTGTCCAGGAGACGTGTAAAATGGAATGTCTTATAAATCTACAATAATCCAGACAGTGTGAAAGTGAAAGACACAGAGATCAATGAACAGAAGTGAGAATCTAGAAAGACATTCTTACATTTTTTGTCAATTGATCGTCAATAAAGTTGCATAGGTAATACGAAGTGACACTTACCACCACACAAAATATAAGCTTGTCTAAAACACCAAAAGCAATGGAAACAAAAGCCAAATTAGACAAATGGGATCTAATTAAACTAAAGAGCTTCTGCACAGCAAAAGAAACTACCATCAGAGTGAACAGGCAACAGAATGGGAGAAAATTTTTGCCATCTACTCATCTGACAAAGGTCTAATATCCAGAAACTACAAAGAACTCAAACAAATTTAGAAGAAAAAAACAAACAACTCCATCAAAAAGGGGCTGGGCAAAGGATATGAACAGACACTTCTCAAAAGAAGACATTTATACAGCGAACAGACACATGAAAAAATGCTCATCATCACTAGACATCAGAGAAAGCAAATCAAAACCACAATGAGATACCATCTCACACCAATTAGAATGGCAATCATTAAAAAATCAGGAAACAACAGGTGCTGGAAAGGATGTGGGAGGAACACTTTTACGCTGTTGGTGGGACTGTAAATAGTTCAATCATTGTGGAAGAAGTGTGGTGATTCCTCAAGGACTAAAACTAGCAGTACCATTTGACCCAGCCATCCCATTACTGGGTATATACCCAAAGGATTATAAATCATGCTGCTATAAAGACACATGCACACGTATGTTTATTGCAGTACTATTCACAATAGCAAAGACTTGGAATCAACCCAAATGTCCATCAGTGACAGACTGGATTAAGAATATGTGGCACATATACACCATGGAATACTATGCAGCCATAAAAAAGATGAGTTTGTGTCTTTGTAGGACATGGATGCAGCTGGAAACCATCATTCTCAGCAAACTATTGCAAGAACAGAAAACCAAACACTGCATGTTCTCACTCATAAGTGGGAACGGAACTATGAGATCACTTGAACACAGGAGGGGGAACATCACACACCAGGGCCTATTGTGGGGAGGGGGAAGAGGGAGGGATAGCATTAGGAGATATACCTAATGTAAATGACGAGTTAATGGGTGCAGCACACCAACATGGCACATGTATACATAGGTAACAAACCTGCACGTTGTGCACATGTACCCTAGAACTTAAAGCATAATAAAAAAAGAAAAATATATAAGCTCAAACAAATTAGAGACCTAAACAGCTAAAATTTATGAGTTAAAACTATCAATTTCTAAAAGAAAATATAGAGAAAATTTTTGTGACATTGGGTAGTCAGGCAAAAGATTCTTAGATAAATTACCAAAAACATGATCTACAAATGAAAAAAGAGAGAGAGAGAAATTGGGCTTAGTTAAAATTTAAAACTTAAGTGCTTCAAAAGACATTATTGAGAAAATGAGAAGACAAGCCATAGATTGAGGGAAAAATTTTCACAGTTGATCACAAATTACATTTGTGATGAAGAACATCTATCCAGAATATAAGACAAGTTCTTAAACTCAATGTACGAAGACGAGCAACTCAACCAAAAATGAGCAAATCATACAAATATGCACAACTGACTTTTACAAAAGCACAAAACCAATTCAATGAAGGAAGGAGCGCTTTCCCAACGAATGGTGCTGGAACAACTGGACAACCACAGTGGAAAAAATAACCTGAGCCCAAACTCATGCTTTATACAAAAAATAACTCAAAATGAGTCACAAGCTTTAATGTAAAACACAGAGTTAAAATGGCAAACATTGAGCCAGGTGTGGTATCACAGGCCTGTACTCTCAGCTACTCGGGAGGCTGAGGTGGGAGGATCCCTTGACCCAGGAGTTCAAGGCCAGCCTAGGCAAGAATTTTTTTTTTCTAAAATAAATAATAATTTAAAACTTAAAATTACAAACCTTTAAGAAAAAGTCATCCAACTAAGACTGGACAGAGTTCTTAGACATAACACCAAGAGTATGTTCCATCAAAAAAAAAGTTAACAAATTGGATCTTATCAACACTAAAAACTGTTGCTCTGTGAGAGACCTGTGAAGAGCTAAAAAGACAAGCTACAGAACGAGAGAAGATATTTACAGACAACATATTCTGTAAAGACTGTATTCAGAATATATGGAGAAATTAAAAAACCCAACAGTAAAAATGAAATCCAAATACACAATAGGCAATAAGCAAGACATGAACAGATATTTCACTGAAGAGGATAAACACCAGGCTAATAAGCAGATGAAAAGGCAGTCAACATGATTATCCAGTAGGAAAATACAAATTAAAACCACAGTGATGAGAATGGCTGCAATACAAAATAAAGGTAGCAACAGATGCTGGCAAGGATGCAGAGAAACTGGGTCACTCTTATATTGCTGCTGGGAATTTTTTTAAAAATGGGACAGCCACTCTGGAAATGAGTATTGCAGTTTTCTTCAAACTGAACGTGCAATTTACCTTATGACTAGCAATTGCCCTCCTATGCACTTATTTCAAACACGGGAAATCTTTATGTTCTCAAAAATCCTGTGCACAAATACTCTTGCAGCTTTATTCATAATACCCCCAAACAGGAGTTAATGCAACTGCCTTTCAGTGGGTGAGTGAGATCTGCTCTTTGAACTCATAACTGAGTCACACAAGTGCCCTTTCTCAAGGCTACCATCCAGCTTCTCTGTGCAATAAGTGTTTTATGCATATTTCCCATTTTCTCACAGGAAATATTAAAGAATGTACTCAAGGATCAAACTTTAATGAACATAATTTTTTACTGCACCATCAAAGAATTCTTAAATGGCAGTGCAGTTTGGAGCCACTGCCTTGGTTCTGCTAAGGTGCTGGGTGTGTTACCTACCATGGCATTTGCAGCATTAATGGAAAAGTCAACATAATGAAACAGGCAGATGGCATCTTGGTATTTCTGTGAAAACAGGTTTCCCTCCTGAACTCTCTGAAGGCAGCTCAGGGGACACACTTTCAAAATGGCAAAGATCGATTATGGTTCCTAGTGGGACACAACCCCTAGCCTATTCAGATTCAGCTCTCTCTCTCTCTCTCTCTCTCTCTCTCTCTCCCCTCCCCCCTCTTTTCCCTCATTCTTCCAACTTATAATTGTATAAATTTTCAAATGTGCAAATAAGCTGAAAGAATGGTGCAGTAAAATTCAAGTTATCACTCTGCCATATTTGGTTAATATCTCTTCATATACATAAAAGCAGAGTGTGAAGTGATGGATCACAGACACCCAGAAGGGTAAGGGTGGTTGGCATTGGGTGTATAACAGAGGGATTTCTTGGTGAGTACAATGTGCTTGTCTCCAGTGCTGGATGCTCTGAAGTCCCTGACTTTACCACAACCTATATAGCAATATAGCAAAATTGCGCTTGTGCCCCATGAATATATATGAATTAAAAAAATTAAAAATAACATAACATGTCTCTTTATAGATACAGGTAGACATGTTTGTATAGCATGTGTGTGAATGTGTGTGTGTGTCTGTGTAGAGAGCAGCACAAGTTAAGAGATTAAGATTTTGTGACTGAACCATTCCAAAGTAACTTAAACATAAAACATACATGGATAAATGTGTCTGTGACAACAAACCTGAATACAAACATGAAAGAATATATCTATAAACACATCTCTGGATAGATAGCTTATGAACGAATTCCCTACGCCAGCTCCCTTACTGGTTACCCTGTGAACACAGGCAGGCAGGAAACAGGACCCAACTAGGTTCCCTCATCCTTCTCTTGCTTCCAGGCAGGTCCTGCATCCACTCCTGCTGCACAGGGGGCTCCCATCCCTGCCTTG